TGCCGCGACAGGCTGCAGCCTAAACTCTCAACTCTTGCTTTTGTCACCCGCCGCCTGCGACGACAAGCCACCGAAAAAGCAAAAAGCACGCACTCCGTCGGAAGTGTGCCGTAGGGGTTGTTTGATGATATGGAACCCAAAAAGGGACCTTATTTCGAAGAACCCCCATCTAGTCTTGCAGCTCAGCTGTTTTGCGCTCGGGTGCTGGGTCAGCCTGCAGATGGATCGGGCTCGCATGAGTGTGCTGAGATGCAAGGATGAAGAAGCATGGAAAGCAAAATGGCATGTGCTGGGCTTTGGATTAACCAAGGGAAAAAGTATAGACTTGTTCTTCATATTTGGTGCCCTTTATGTAAGAGGTCACAATAAAGTATGAAAGTCAGGTACCCGAAAGCCCAGCGTGTGAGACGAATCCCTTCAGACTGGATTGGTGCTTCGAGGAAATCCCACGAGCACTACTGTGCATAGCTGCCGGCGGCTGGACTGGATGACACCATATGGGTTAGGTACTGCCCCCATACAGTAAGAGTCTAAAATCGGGCTACTATAAAGGTCCTAATATATCTATATTATGAAGATTATTCAACTAGTACTGAGTGGGGGCCGTACCCTACCCAACATATGGGAGTTTCCAAACATAGGGGACCCAAATATGGTACCCTAAATAGTAGGATCCTTATAATAAGAATCCCAACTCTCCTGTTTTCGGAAACTCCCATATGTCAACCCAAACCCAAACTCTTAAAAACATACGATAAGGGCCTTAATAGTTAGAATAGGGTTTGGGGGATATACTTTATCATAGTTACAATAAGGACCCCCCCCAAAGTAGCATAGGTAATTTGCTAAAGCCCCTATACCCAGAGAGCCCAATACCCCTTAATTAAGGAATATGGCCTAAATCATAACATGAAGCCCTATGTAATTTAAGCCATATTCCTTAATTAAGGGGTATTGGGCTCTCTGGGTATTACATCACCATACCCTAAACACCATCGAGGCGTCCGCTCGCTGCGCAAAGGTCGTGTCAACAGGGCCAACATAGGGGCCGAAACATGTGGGTGGTTGTCAAAATTAGGATCCCTTTTTGGGTACCCCACATAATAGGTGCCGTATTGTAAAAAGGGCCCAAAAAGGGGACCCTAATTTTGACTGCCACCCATTTGGAAGACAGTATACGGACGAGAAGGGGACACGGCTGCTAAGTATTCAGACCCCTATATTACCCAGGAAGGAAAAACGCAAGGCGGGCCTTGCAATGAATGCCAATTCCGAATCTCTCCGATCGTCTTGGCAACAACTACTCTGGTTGGCCAGACTATGCTGGCTGGCGAAAGCATGCAAAAGAACGGAACTTGGAATGCCTTATAACGGAAGCCTGAGAACTTGCATGTCTCGGACTGTCTCGTCTGCTAGGCTCGGGGCTCCTTCTGGAGGGAAAAGAAGAAGCCGCTCTCATTCTAAAATAAGAAGAAGTCGTTCAGATCACGGGCTGAACACAGCAGTGAACCCGCTGATTTTCCTGCTACATAGCCAGCGGTGGCCCTTTCTCGGGCCATAGCCGGCATGGTAGACCCTGTATCATGTCGCTCGTTGACTTGGAACAATAAGCTTGAAATACCCTGAGTAATCATTGTAGGTTCACGTGTCAGAAACTGGACTGCTTCACGAGGTCGCGCACATTCGTCACGTGCCAGGCCCCACTCAGGAATTCAACTACCTGAAGCAGTACGGGGACCCTGAGAGGGTACACTGTCCAAGTTTCTGAGTCCAAAACCCTAAACCCCAAAGCCTCAACCCCTGTGAAATGCGCTCCGCATAAACCCGCACAAGAAAGACACAACAAAGCAGACCCTACACATGCAGCGTAAGTCGGGTTATATGCACCTTAATTGGCCTTATAAGCCATTGTGCCCATACTTGCCATACTTATGACGATGCTTACGAAGTCGCCTGGGGCATTTTGGCACCCTAAGGGTTTTTGATTATGGGTTCATGCTTCAAGGGGGTAGTTTAGCAGTTTCGCAGGGCGCTGGTCCGGAATTTTGGGCCTGTGCTCTTGCTGCTCTGGACATCTATCGCTCGAGACATGGGTGTTTGTTGAGCAGGGCAACAGCGCATTGAGCTGTAATCCACGAGAGATATGTCAGGTAGGCACGTGCTTTTGTTGCCCAAGGCCTGATTCCATCCACTGTCCGGTTTCGGCCCAACCCATTGAATCGCAGCAATTACCGCCACAGTGCCACAGAGCCGTGTGGATTTAAGTGTGTTTTGTTGGTGGAAACCGTGCTCCCGCTGCAGTCCCTGTGCATTTCTTCGGCTCGTTGGCTCTGTCCACAAACCCTGCTCCCGCGGCCGTCCCACTATGGGCTATTAGACCTTATGGGTACCTTAATCTACCCTTAATAGGGTCCTAATAGGGATCTCTAGGGTCTAATAGCCCATAGTGGTCCAGCATGTCGCTTCGGGGTAGGACTGGTGTTTGCGCCGCAGTGCGGTGCGTGTACTCGTGGGCTGGTCTGTGAAGCTTCCGGAGTGCTCCTGGAATACTTTATATTCTGCTGTAAATGGCTATCCTATGTTGTATTCTAGCATCGCATATTTTATTGGATATGTTCACTGATTGGGTCTATGCTGGCATGATCACGGCTTGCCCTATTCTCAACCTCATGCTGGCACGGTAGGCTGTTGAGACCCCTAAACCCTAAACCCCTAGGCCCTAATCCCTAAACCCTAATCCCTAAACCATTAATCCCTAATCCCTAAACCCCAAAACCCTAATCCCTAAACCCTCAACCCAAATCCCTACTCCCCAAACCCAAATCCCCGAACCCCAATCCGAAGCCATCTCCAAGTTGCCATGCAGTGGGAGCCAGAGTTGTCTGCGTCGATTGCCACATCCAGTGCCTAAGTTCCCCAGTACTTGGAGGATCATGGGACTTAGTAAGTAAGGTTATAAGTATAGTTACCCGAATGATAACCCTAGTTACTAAGTCCCACGGTCTTTTAAGTAGTACCTTAACACTAAGAGTTTAGGGCTTAGAGCTTAGGTTGGTCTTCATGAAGGAGCCCAAAAAGAAAAAGGCTGTCTGGTGCTTAGTTGGGAATGTGGGCATGGATCCCTATGATAGCCCCTTAAGGTCCCCTATAGTAGGCCCAGTAACCCATTCCCCCATTCCCTGCTAAGAACCCGTCAGAAGGGCAGCAGGGTGCTTGAAGGTTCATGGGTAGTTATAAGGGTTCCTTTAAGGGTCCCTTTAAAGGGATCTATAGGGATTCTATAAGGGTACAGGGTTTAGGGTGTATTTGAAGGCTCATGGGTAGTTATAGGTGGGGTTATAAGTAGGGTAACCATTATTATAACCATTATTATAACCCATATTCGGGGACTTCTACGCCCACTTGGAACTACCCATGAACCTCCAAGCAGGCCTTAAGCCCTGGACCCCTTACAGAATCCCTATAGATGCCATTAAAGGGACCCTTAAATTATAGAATCCCTATAGATGCCTTTAAAGGGGCTCTTAAAAGTACTACTAAGCAGCCCAGGTGCGCTACGACCACGCGAAGTCTTCTGATGTGGATCTGCCCCGAGCTTCAACAGCTCTCGAACCAAGCCGAGGCATCCTCGAGTTTGGCTTGGGGTACATATCCTACTATGCTTTCTAATGCTAGACTATATTATAGTATATATACCATATGTTGTATATTATAGTATATTATCGTTTGTTCTAGTATGTTATAGTATATGTTATAGTATATTATAGTATTTTATAGTATATTATAACATATTATGGTATTTTAATTATAGTATAGTGGCTCACGGCTTCAAATCATGGAGCTGTTTGGCAACCTGGCAAGCTGGTTAGGTTTCCGAGTCGCAGAAAAGCCTGCGCACGAATTCTTTCCGACGGGACTTACGTAAGTATGATGATCCTATACGCTAAGTCCTAAACCCTTTATAGCAAGTAGTCAAGTAGGTCTGGCTTTTTCCCGTACGAGGGCTGCTATTCGGGAACTTAACAACCCTGAATACCGGGTTTGCCACAGAGATCCTACACATGTCATGCTTGGAACCCTACCAAAACCAATCGGTTGTACTCCTTACTACTTGGATTCTAGGACCTATTTGGAGGAGAATGGGACTTAGTGATTATGGTGATTATTCGGATAACGGTACTTATAACCCGAACTAGGGTACTTATAACCTTACTTACTAAGTCCCATGATCCTCCAAGTAAGGCTCGTATGTTATAGCTTTCTTTGATCTGATAGGAACGTTCGATCCGAGGCACCACCCAACGCAGCGAAGTGGAGGGGATAAAATGTCTCCTCTCAGAACAGTATCAAGGTCTGAGGGTGATGGTTGGGCTAGTATCAAAAATAAACACGTGCAAACCTTATTGGGTTTAAGCACCCATGAAGTACATGTAATTTTCAATTGCCCACCTATGACAAGGGTCTAAACGACAGATTGGAACATAAGAAATGTGACATTACGAAATTGCCAAGCCACTACGGTGCATCTAGCAGTGTCGTAGATGGAGCTGTTGTGAGCTTTCTCAACTTCGATATGGGAGTATCAGACAGCAAGACTTCTCTCTAAACGAGCCCCAAAGACGTAGGATACTCATCCTAAGGAAACTAACTAGGAACC